TAATTTAAGACTCGATAACAGCAGCAAATATTAAGCCATTTATTCAAGTACCGTACTTCTTAAACCTTACTATTCCACTGCCATCTATCCCACATTTTAAGGACAAGCTGATGCAAAAGGTCTTCAAGTTATTTTATTATCCCCACTGCTTAGATGAAATTTATGCGCTGATTAAATTCAATGACTAATGGTTTTTCAGTTTGAAATTTTTTCTGGATGCCGCTTTCGCGTGTAATGATCTTATGCAAATTTCTTGCGGTATTGAAGAATGTTGATAGACAACTACCCATGCATAACTTAGGAAGTTATAGTAGACTGCTTACCGAGATAAATTTATATGTATAATTTAACTCTTTTAAATGGAAATTTATTTTTCCGTAGGTGAATAAAAATAAAATTTTAATATCTAATAAAGATATGAAACCATTAAATTCACATCCACTCACATCTACTTGCCCTTTAAAAATATCATTAGTTATGGAGCCCAGTGTTATTTTTCAGAAGATATATTAGTAAGTTTCTGAGTTTATTACATTTCATGTCTTCTCATGTGAAGTACAAGACGCTGCTTTAGGAAGTCCTTTCCAAATGCTTTCGGCTTTAAAAACATCACATTTTCAAGCCTTTCCATAATCAACCAAGCGAAATGTTTTTTATATTAGCAAAGCAAGTAATCTGTCGATAATTCAAAATAACTTCGAAATAGTCACAAATGAATCATTTTTTTTTTAATTTCATATGATAAAGAAGAAATTTTGCATTAACTTTCGGTGGAATTTCCTGCATAAATAAATTCAGGGTGAAACTCTTACGAAAGCAGACGATTTTTTACCATCTGGAAATGTGAAGTTGATTTACGCTTAAAATCTTGCGAAAATGACTTTCCAATCTTTATCACTCTTGAATTGTATGTTGCAGGTGCTATTGATTCTCAACTAAATAGGAAAGGAAATTTCAGAAAAGCCTTATTTCTCGTTTTGAACTAGAATGAGGGAAAGGGGGGATTATTATAACGCTTTACATGCAGAAAATTGCTCAAATTTTGAAAATGATAATTTTGTTGCAGACCATAATTTCCTGAAAATATCTCTGAATAATTAAAATGCAGATTTAATATTCACTTCTAAAAGCATTTTATCAGTTAGTGATTAATGCCTATAAAGGCTGCAACAGTGATGATAGCAAATGGTGTAAAATGGGATGTCAGTCACAGTGTGCGATCAGCAAAGTGTGATGGTAACCAAATTTATAAGAAATTCACAAAGGAAAGTGAAACAACTTCACTAGTGAATCTTCCTGAAATTATGTTTATTTTGTACGTCAATTAGAAGGAATGATATTATGAAGTTATAAAAATACCTTACGAATTGTTAAAAAGAATAGCACTTATCAAATTAAATCGATTTGCGTAGTTCATATCTATACTAAAAAGTGATAATAATAGTACTGATAATAACAACAGTAGCAGCAACAACAACAACATTAATAAAAATAAGGGCTCTACGTGCAACAATAAATTCGACGATGACCCTTGAAGTTAAAATTAATTCTCTCAAATGAAATTTCGTTTGAAAGCAGTCACAGAAATAAGAAAATCGTAACTCTCGAATTAATTTCAAACGCTTCTCGATACGCCGGAAGAAAAAATATCATTAGTATAGCAAATACACGCATGCATTATACCGAGATATTAACTATTCTACAAGTAGAGTAAATTAGGTCTAGTTGTGATGCGGATATCTTGTCTACCTTGAAATTGTGGGTCACAAAAAAGCTTCACTCTTTCGGCTAAAATATTTTGGAAATAAAATAGCTGCGTAACCTGTTCCTGAATGACAGCGTGAGGTCAGTATTCAGAAAAGGATGGCATCAATAAAATGTAAAATAAGATGACACTGATAAAAGATGACAATATTGAAACACAAATCTTTTTTATGCCTTCTCTAGGTTTGTACGTGTGAAGGTGGGAAAGGTTCATTTTAACATTGTTTGCTAGCCTAGTCTTTATTCCTTTTGTATGCAATATAATTCCTCCTATGAGTTCATGTTTCACACTATTTTAGCTCAAGTCCTTTTATTCTGTATTTTTAAATAAGCGTCTGAAAAAAGAAAAATGCTCCTTTATTTTACTAAGCTAAAATTCCTTGCTTAAATTATGATGTTTTCAGAATAATTCATTGCTATGAATAAATTAAAAATCGAAATAAAAAAAGATTATAATAGAACAAGCTACTCCATTAAGATTATTTATGAAAAATGATAGTTCTAAAATGCGACCTCGTTCTCAATTCATTGAACATTTACATTGCTTTCTTAATTTAATAATTTTGCGGATGCTACGATCGGCAAAAACGTTTGTTCATTTTATTTGTCAACAATTTACAGAGACCATCAGGTATATTATTTCGGATCAGAAGACGTGAAAAAGTATCAAGGCCCTTGCCGGGAATCGAAATTCGAACCTCCCGATTGCTAGTCGGAAACGATATTATTACACTACGAAGTCACGCGGAAACGAGGGAGAAAGTATCTTATCTTACAAGTTTAGCATTCGTTTTTACACTTCATTTACTTCTCGCCTAAACTTTATTGTAAATTAATGCATCTTACTAAAGAGAGGAGGTTTACAAGTTTTTAAGAGTAATTAAGTTAATCAAATAATGTTTCATTAATAAATTCAAAGAGTAAAGCATATATTAATACAGATTTTCGTTTCTGCGTATTTTTATGCAAATAAAAAATATTTGATGTTAAAAATATGTTTTTTTTTTTTTTTTTTTTTTTTTTTTTTTTTTTTAAACTTTGAACAAAAAGATGAAATAAGTTCTAACAATGAATTTTCAAAGGCATCAAGGCAGGGCTGGATCCCTAATTATCAGGAATAAAAAGAGCTTTGTATTTATTTCATTAAATATTTTAATGTTTTTGAAAGCTTGCACCAAATTTAAAGCAAGTGAAGCACCGTGCGAATTTTTACTAACATTAATGAAAAGTCAAGATTGTCTGTCCATTTTTATAGCAACCTGTAATTTTTCATTAAATCGTTCTGATTCGAGATGAATTCCCGAAATGCCATTTTCGAAGATAATTAAACTCATTTCTTGAGTTAAATTACAAAATTAACTTTTGTAAAAGATTATGTCATTTAATTGTTGACTAAATATCAAAAGAATGTTCAAAGGCAGAGAAATCGTTTTTCACATTTCGGATCAATCTGCTAGTAGCTGTAGTATATAAACTCGAATTTCGTCTCTACGATATCAGTTAATGACATTTTTTTTTTTTTTTTTTTTTTTGGTTCATTTTCAAAAAACAGTAGTAACTGCTGGCAATTTACTAGGTACAGGAAGTCAGGAGTTGACAATATGGGATGCTGAAAATTTAAATTAAAGTTTGTATACTCCAGCTTTTACGGAAATGCTTTGTATGAATAAAGAAATCGCACAGAATTTCACGTATTCTGAAATAAATTTATTCCAACGGTAACGTGCGGTCTAGTCCCATGCCAACATTTAGAAAATAATAAACATTTTTATAATAAACTATATTTTATTATATACATAATTTTTAAATCTTATAATATGATAATCAATTTTATTAGAATCTTTTAGTCTGCAAGTTACTTCTGAACTACCAAATAACCAAGAAAATATCCTTTTTTCCGTAACTTATTATTTATCATGCTTTCATGTCTTTTTTGAGAGAATTCTTTCCATTCGATTATCTATCTATCTATCTATCTATCTATCTATCTATCTATCTATCTATCTATCTATCTATCTCTATATATATGACATTATTACTCTTCCACAGACATTGCATAAAAAATAAAACTTAAAATTACGGGGATTAGGAACTTCGAGCTCAAGGTAGCCTATTGAATAACTTCATAAACAGGAAATTTTATTTTCAAATGAACCAATTAAATTTATGCGATTCAGCAATTCAACATTTGACCAAATCTTTAATGTCATGCAGTTCTTAAATGTTTCAAAATACACTTTTATTTTCTTGTTTTCTTTCCACTCACTTCATGCATGGTTTCGTACGTATAAGCCTAAAGCTATTCAATGAAAATCCACCCATTTCCTCTTTAATCATCTCAGAGCGATATAACATTGAATATTATATTGTTGGCTATTAGAGAACGATTGGGCGGCCCTTTGAGGTTTACAGCGCAAACATATCGTAAAGCAAATCTTACTTTAAATACAGCAGCACGAGTCTTTAATTTCTGGTTCTGCAAATGTTATTATGTTAAAATCTCTTAATAACATTCCCAGCATGGTCTGATGCCCGAAATGCACGTTTGCTCGATTATTTAGATTTCACACTATTATCGAATTATAGGATTATTGTAACGACTTTTTTTGACAGGATTACATGAATGACACACCAGAACAAGAGTGACTAGAATATGCTAAAACAATGCTAATACTCTCACGGTTATCAGATTGACTTTTTCATTCTATAGTTTTAGGGTTTCGGATTCAAGAAGTGGCATTGTCTCCTTGCAGCTGTCTTACAATCAAATAATCAATTAAACTACCTTAATCTGAAAACATAGGCGTGAACTGATATAAGTCATGTAATACTTTTCCTGCTTTTATTATTATTTTTTCTTAAAGATAACTCACATCTGTCGGCGAATAATGTATTTCCTTTAGTTGCTGGAATACAAATTAGTAAATGAATACAGAAAAACAGCATGTTATGGGAAAAAAAAGGTCTTTGAATTGTTTACTTTCAGTTAAGAATATATTTCTCTATAATCCGCATCTAATCAAAGTTAGTTAATCATGAAAATTTACAGAGAATATCGAGCTTGTTAAAAAGGGTCTTTAAAGAACTTGTGAAGAGCACTGCCTCAGGCACAACGCCTTGTCAGGGGCTCCGATAAAGGCTGGATTACAAAGAATCGTGTGATAATTTCTACTAGTCCATTGAAATTTGGAGTCCTCGGCCCTTGGGTTTTGTAGACCTAAGCTGTTATGAAGCTGTGGTACCCAGAATATAAAAATAAATTAATATGAGTGATTTAGAGACTTCATTATCTGAGGCGTTTTTAATGGAAATTTTCTAACGGATATACAGATGTTTATATGTATTCTCACACAAGCACTACCATTTAGTAAAGCACGTTGAAGACGTATAAATTTTGGAAAACTATGCAACAATCCCCAACTCTCAGAATTTTTTTTTTTTTTTTTTTTTTTTTTTTTTTTTTTTTTAGGGGACGCTCAATATATGAATGGATGAAAAACCTTCTTGCAGGAAAGATACATTTGAATATTTTCTTAAGAAGCCCAAACTCGATATAAACTAGATAATATAAAGAACTGAAAGGTAAATATGTCCATTAATAACAAAGAATTACTTGCTGTCAATTATAAAATAGTCCACTTTGAGACTATAAAACAAGGAGTATTCCTGTAACAACCAACATTGTTCATTTTTATGAAAATATTCGAAATTTAATTCCTTACATAGCTTTCTTTGTAACGAATTTCTTATTTAAAACTGTAATTATTTTCTTAATTTTTCACTTTTTGATATCATAAGAAATTATAATACATCATTTGAAATATTTCAGAATAACTATTTAATTCCTTAGCGTCAGATGATCAAAGCATGTCAAGAACAAGCAGACTGCACAACCAACAGGGACGTATGCGAAATCTCTATCAGAAGTAGTTTAGACTGAAAAACCATCAGACTTTAAAAATAATAATACTCATTAAAAGGTTTAAAGTTATAAGGTATTTCTTCCGCCTTCTTGCATGCCTTCCTGGTGTGGTGGTCTGCACGCTGGGCGCGTATTCCAGAGGTCCGTTTTCAATTCCAGGTGAAGGTGGTTGCTCATCTTCCCTGCTTCCAAAATACCTAATGTCTCTGCAAAGTAATTGATCATTATATTAAAGAATTCATTGATAGCTGCTAAAAATTTGAATTCTCATTTTTTGTTTCTTCCGACTTCAATTTCTTGGTTGGGTTTGGTTTAGTTTAGCTAAGGGTTATATGTCTATAGGGATGGATGCCTTCGTGGAGGACTATCTAAGGAAAATTGTCTCGTATATACATTAGACATTGGTAAAACCATGAAAACGCTCATGCAGCCAACCCGTTCGTCTGGATTCGAACCCAGGTCGGAATTACCAACGTTCAGCGATTTGACAGCTCGGCCGTTGGTGAGTTCTTCAATTTCATCAATTTCTTGAAATTTAACTAATTAGAATTAGGTTTTAGTTATTTTAAAAAGGCAAAACACACCAGAGCTACTTCCCTAAGGGGAGGATGACTTCGTAGAAGATTTTTTCAAGAGAAGGATTTTTCAAGGGAACGAAAACTAGCCATGCAATCAGCCTGTTTTCTTGGGCCCAAATCCGAGTCTAACTTCCAGTTTTCATCGACCTTAACCATTCGGTCACTGGTGGGGCCAATTAACAATTCGAAGTGAGCCTTTGGAGAAGATATAACGACTTTTTCAAAGTATTGTAATGAAAAACATTTATTCCTGCCAAATATTAAATGCTACTTATCAAAAGTTGATTTGAAGTATTTATGCTACTATGAATTTTATTTGATTCAAAAATAAAACTAAAATCTTTCAAATGCTAAGGACGAACTCGTAAAATGGTAAAATATGTAATTTTGAACACACGTCGCATGCTTTTTAAGAAAAAAATAATGTTTCAACATTATCATATGTTTATTATTATATGTTATATTATTATTATTATGTTATGTTATTATATTTATATATTATGTACTACGTTTTAAAATTAAAGAGAACTAGACATCGATAAAATGACACAAATAAAATAAGTATTTTACCATACTTAAGCAATTAAATCTTACTAAAAATAAAATATTTCAGTATTAAAATAAATTTTAAAAAACGTATTCCAAAAGAGATGCGAAGCCAAAATGTTACGTGTTTTTGTAAACCAATTTATTTCAACAACTCCTAAATTCAAATGACATTTCGTGGCTTTTTTATTTTTTATGTAGGAACTATTGTTAAGAAACCAATGTTTATTAAATAAACTCAGAATTTCTTTTTTCGTGCAATTTTATTTCGTCAAAATTTTACAAAATAAAAATCACTTTTGTGCCATTGACGTTGACGTATGTTTTGATAAAACAGATGTTTATGTTTGCAGATTTCTCTTGCTTACATCTGATAAATGATAACGCAAATTTGCTTAGACACTGAACAGATTTACATCAAAATAATTGCAGAAAACAAAGGAACAATTTGATAACCAGTAAGGTTTTGGCTTTTTTAATGATATTTAAACAACTTGCCATTTTATTCATCCGTACATAAAAACAAAATTAAATCTTTTACAGCGGAATTTTTTTCATAAACTCGATAGAGTGGGAGGCCAAAAAAATTAGAAAATAAGTACAAATCTAGGAAAACGAAATAAAAAGTTACACACCCGCGTTTTTTTTTTTTTCTCAGGACAGACCGTGGAGCTATTTCCATGTCGCCGAGGCGTCGGCCGAAGATTCACAGAAATACAAAGCTTTAAAAACCCGCCCAGGTATTAATGAGGCAAACGGTTGAAGAAGAAAGCAACTCTCGCACCTTGGTGCACCCGGACAATAATGATGACAAACGAAGCGAGCTAAATGGAATCGTAATTGCACTGTTCCTAATTAGCACGCTCCTTCGTCTCTGCTCTCCCTTCGGGGACCCCGAATTCATTTGCGACGATTTAGCTCTGGCTCTGGGTTTTTATTCCTCTCCTGAAAACCGTAGTCTCCAGTAAAGTGTTGCTCAGCTAATCGCTAAATCGCATTTCCCTGGAGCAAATCACTCCTGATTTGCAGTTATATGCATTTGCGCCTCCCGTCAAGGGAAGGTTTACAAATTTATAGGGTGCTTCTACAGAAAGGTACCTTCTGCAATAATACGTAAATTGCTTTCAAGGCAAAGGAAGTATTTTCAAAATTAGTGGCGAAATCTTCCCTTGATACATACATAAAACTATTAGCTCACAGTAGTCATATAAATAAATACAGTATTGAGCTAATTCAACCTTTTGGATTAGCCAGTATGGTTTATATGCAAGCCAGTATGCTAGTGTCCATAATCTTGTATAAATAGGACAAGATTCGGCAGAGATCGCCATCAGATATAGCAAACGGAGATAACGGAGAAAAAAGAATTTAATATTTTCTGTGAAAAATAAAATATGTTAAACGTAAAACACTTTTCTTATTATCTCAAAATTGTTTTATTAAAAGACAGCATAATAACAAAAAATCAGTAACGAATTTGAAAGATACAGAAGGCTTATTCCTGCTAGCAGAATATTAAGGAGCCCAGAATATTAAGGACATGTCAAAAGATTGGAGTTAACATATATATTTATTCATTCGTGTGGCCGCAAGTAAATGAAAAATAATAAATAAAAAACAATAAAAAATAAATAAAAAGCAACTCGCTTCCACCTTTTATTTATGTTGTTGTTCTTTAAAATATTAACTAATTGAGTTTTAGAATCGCAGTAGAATTTAATAATGAGCTTCAATTTCAGCTTAACAGCATTTGTATTATACAATACATGAATACATAACAGCATTTGTATCATAGAATAGATGAATTTGTATTATGTAATTAGATCCTTCGATTTGTTTTAAGTAGGTTAAAAACTGTATATGGGTTGGAAAACTTTAAACTGTATTTTGGATATAGTGCTTATAGTAACTTAGTAATAAAGATCTGTAATCCATAAATTTTCAACGTATAATCCATTATTTTGTATTGGTATTAAAACCGCGTATAATAATTCGCTTCCGCCTGTTTTAATAGCTTCATGAGAAAATGAAGGAGGAAATTTCATCAGTACATGTCATTTTTCAGTAACCCATGTAGCCTTCATTACTTATTTATTTCAAAAGAAATCATGGCAAAACTAATATTTATTCTTTTAAAATTGATTTAATTCAAATTAAAAGAATCTATTTCTAGTCCACTAAAATTTTATGAATCCCGGCAAACGAGCTGCCTGCATAAGCATTTTCGCGGTTTTCCCCATGTAAAATGTATATACGAGAGTTTCCCTTAAAAGGTCCTCCAGGAAGACATCCCTCCCTTAAGCAGATAACCCTCAAGTGCTTTGCCATAATTAAATAAACTAAGCTAAAATTTGATATCGAAAATGTTGGATTGTTGCAAATGAAATGATCGTTGAATGACGTGAGGTAACTAAGGTTACGGAAGAAAGACAACGCTGTGGTTTGAGTAAATTTTTTTATGTCGTATTGGATAAAGACGCACGCAAGTGATGCAACTGTAATATTTGTTTCGCTCAACAGAATCAATTCAGTTCTGGTATCCAGTCAATTAAGACTACTGGGCTTTAAAAAGCTCAAATTGAGATGTTCTGCTACAGCTGCAATAAAAAATATCAATAAAGCATTCGATGAAGGAACAACTAATGAGAAACCATTTGTTGTTGGTTTTCAAAATTTCGTTCAGACAATTTCAAGCTGCAAAAAGAACCCCGTGGCCATCAACCTTCTTCCATTTATTCGGAAGAATTAAAATAATTTATGGAATCATAGCCCTAGAAACTATGCGAGGGATCGCCCAGACGCTAACTATAATTTCGTCAAATGTTTCGCGGCTCTTGGCAGTAAAAGAAAATGTAAGGAAGCTCGACTTCTAGGTGCCTCACCAACTTCCTGATGAAAATGAAGCATGGCGTTTGGAAGTTGCTGTCTTACGAAAAAGTAAAGAGGATTTTTCTTCTGAAAATAATTGTAACTTTGAGTGAGAAGTGGATATCCCATGATAATCGATAATGATCATGATACATCACACATTCGTCATAGTGCTTGGGAATGAAAGACGTTCCAGAAAGGACTCTAAGGGTACATTTGCTTTCAAAGACTATATGATGGCCTAGAGCTGATATTATTCACTCATTCCTTCTATAAGATGAAACAATAAAGGCAGTTCGATATTTTGCAGATATGAGGCAAAAGCATGGCAATTTGCATATTAGACAACCAGCACTTTTGAATAAAAGGAAGTCATATTTCTTCAGAACAACGCTGACTACATATGCAGGGTCAAAGATACACCAAATCAACCATATGGTATACGAAATCATGCCTCATACTATATTCTCCTGACATTTTCCAAATGGATTACTATTTTTCGGCACTTGAGCTATATTTTTTCAAGAGATGGATTGCCAATAATCCATCAGTTTATACGGCAGTGGAGGACTTCACTTCCAAAGGCAATGATTTTTACAAGAGTGGTATAAATGACCTTGCTATAATTTGGTAACAAAACACTGATGACGGTGGAGATTATTTTGATT